TCAGACAGCGTGTTCTTGACAGAAGAGATTGCTGTAAAACAAGGCATGTCCAACAGCTGAAGTAGCGTTAGAAAGTCGTTAACTGGAATGGCGGGGGATGGGGGGGAGGGGGGGGAGGGAGGGAGGGGAGAGCGGTAGAAAGGGAAAGGCTCTTGCCAACAAATGCGCTCTTATATATAGTATGTTTAAAACCGCTTCAGTTTATCTGAATGGTAAACAAATAGAACATATGCTGGTGTTTAATTATCAAGCCTATATTTACCTTCTAAAAAAAAAAAAAAAAAAAAAAAAAACTCCAACGAAAACGGAAACAAAAATTCAAACTGTTTTACTTCATGATGATTTCACTGCCAAGGACATCCCAAACCATGGAGGAATTTTCACTGAGTTTTAATTTGACGGAGAGGAAAATAGCCAAGAGAGTTGCATCGAATGCTCATTTAAATGGGTCCTCTCATTGTTGATCTTTCAAACTTAATGTTTATGCATGATAGAATATATGTTATTAGAATAGAATTCAGTAGTAGTCGAAGTATGTTTTTTCCACCCTAATGCTGAGCTAGGTACAAAGTTTGAGGTTTAATATACGGCCTTGCACATGCCCAAGTATCGTCCTTTCAGTTTGGCTTTGACGGCGTTAAGTTCATCCTTAGATATTCAACGAATGACTGTTAAATGCACGAAAACTTCCCACAGATCTTACGTATTTGCATCCAACACATCACCAACCTTATCCCACAGACTGTGTACTGGTCTGTTGGAATCGGATGCACTTAGCAGATCATACAAAAAGAACACTATATATATATATATATATATATATATATATATATATATATATATATATTATATATATATATATATATATATATATATATATATATATATATATATATATAATATATATATAATAACGTCAGCTTCGAGTTTTGGACTTTTAACCCGTAAGATTTGTGTCCACGAGAATTGTGAAATTGTATCATATGCTCGTAGGAATTAAAAGTAGGAAGAAAGGCGGGAACTTTTGTAAGTCTGACATCTTTTTTTCTTTTCTTCTTGGGGGGGGGGGGGTGAGCGGTTTATCCTCATGATGCAATCCATAGACCGAATAAAGATAACTCCTTTCCCAGTTGGAGCGGAGTTAGTGCCATGAATAGAAGAAATTAGTAAGTTCTGGAACCAAACTAATAAGGAGGCGGGAACTGTGTTACTCTGGCGTGGACCTTTTGAAACGGGAGGCGGGGTGGGGGGGGGTTTAGCACTGCGGGAGTGGGGGGGAGGGGTAAGGGGGAGGTAGAATTGCAGAAGTTTCCCCTAATTCTTATCTATCAAATTGATCGTAAATATTATGTGTGTAGAAAATTTTATGAATGAGAATGGATATCGTGTGCACAGTGCAAGAGATGTATTTAATATCTATTTTCATTCATAACTTTTCTACATCTGTGGCAATGAAGACGGTTCGCCGAAAAAAAATATTTTGCGTCACTCTGTAAACCTTTATCTTTCCATGATATAAATCTATTCATTATGAATTCTTGTCACTCTTCCACAACTATTCACACCTGTAAGTATATCAGTGCGCAATTGTCTTATACTTTAACACAGAAACACGTGTCCAGTTTGAGCAACATAAACAATAACAACAAACAGATGTTGTTTTTTTTTCACTATAGAATGACAACAGATATTAACTGGTCTCTGACACATCAATCTTATGCAAATTTGATGATTTTAGATTTTAGAGACGGGTTTCTAAATCAAGATTTCTTTGGAGTCTTCTGTTAAAATAAAATCAATATCAAAAATATAGTTGCTGCATAATAAGCTCATTTGTGGTACAATTTTCCAAAATGAAGATCTCTGTTTGGCTTTCCATTATATATATATATATATATAATGTATATATATATATATACATGTATATATATAATAAATCATTTGAAAAACGTATGATTATTTTTTCATGATAAAAGGGGAACAGGATGCCGTCTATATTATGCGACCTTGACCTTTACCTTGTCTAGATTTAAGGGTTAAATGATCTTCACTAATTCTAAACCCACAGAAACAAGCTCTCTTTGAGTTATTTGTTGTTGCAAAATATTATCTGTTGCCTTACCTTTTCAAATTAATTCTCTGCCAAGTTCATTCATCTGAAAATTATTTGAATTATCGAAATTTTGTTCATCATAAGCAATGGAAATTATACATTGCATAAAGATTATTCAAGATTTCTGCAATAGTCATTTTCCTTTTTTTTAGAAAGTATTTTCTTATATATACTATATCCCAATACTCCCAAAAGCAAACACCTTAATTATTATTATTTTCTAGGCCAGGTGTGCCATCTATTATTGATCATAATCTGTAGGAAAATGTAATAATTTACTGCAATATTGATGATTAAATAACTTGCCCTGCCTGACCAGGACTCGAACCTGGGTCACTGCGGCTATGAAAAACAGGCCATATAAGGCATATAGAAACATATATGGGA